TGAACTTAAAATAATTAAAATACTTTTAAAGATCAGAGTAGCTACAACTAATAACAAATTAAAATATATTTGCAAAATACAGTAAAAAAAATTTTTTTTCCTGCCGAATCACCATCATCAGTTCATCAAAAGAAACAGTATAAAATAAGGAAAAAGAAAATTAAAGATAAAAGAATAATCGTTATTTTTCAATTATCAATTCACATCTATTTTCCCTCAATATTTATGTAACGTGTCAGAAAGAGAGGGGGCAAGTGTTGAAGAGAGTGCTTACCGTCGAGTGCCCTTAGCATTGCTCTTTACCAATAGCGTAGCCACGTTTTCAAAATGTTGGTGGAATTGCCTGCCTTCCAGCAAAGCTAAGCAGCGAACAACTCTACGCAAAAGACCGGAAAAACAATTCAGAAAAAGCAATTATTAGTCCCACATGTTGGAAACAAAAAAAAGAAGAAAGCAATTTAAAGAAAGGTTTATTGTTCTTTTGAATAATATTATATATATAATGACTTATATATAGGTGTTTATAAAAAAAAATATTTAAAGAAAATATTATAAAGTATAAAATATTTACAATAATTTTAAATATAATTGTGTCCATATTTTAACATCCCTTTCAAACTCAAGGTGATTGTGATGAAACCAACTTGAGTTTGGAAAGAAGCGTATGAAAGCGTCTAGGAAAATGAGTCTTGGTAAAGAGGTCTGCTGGTTCATCAGTGGAGCTAATAAAAACCAAATAAACAGTTCCTTGTGCAACATGGTGGCGAACAAAGTGATAATCAACTTCAATGTGTTTAGTACGTTCATGGAAGATATCATTATGAGCAATCTGCATAGCACTTTGATCATCACAATATAAATCAGTAGAAGAAGGTTGAGGAATACCCATATCTTCAAGAAGCCACCGTAATGAAAGGAGTTCTGATGTGGTATCACCAAGAGCTCTATACGCAGCTTCAGTACTAGAGCCAGATGGAATAGTTTGTTTCTTACTCTGCCAAGAGATAAGAGAATTACCAAGGAAAAAACAATAGCTAGTGGTAGATCGACGATCAGAAGGATCACCAACCCAATTAGCATCAAAGTAAGCACGAAACACAAGAGAGGAGTTGGCAAAAAAATGGAGTCCATGAAATAACGTTCCCTTAACATAGCAAATAATGCGAAGTACCGCTACATAATGAGTGGAGCGAGGAGCAACCGTAAACTGACTAACAATGTGAACTGCATATGCTATATCAAGGCATGTCGTGGTAAGATAAACTAGACTACCAACCAATTGCCGATAACGAGTAGGATCAGAAAGTAGAGAGTCATCCATAGGTGTAAGCTTGACATTAGGTTCAAGAGGTGTAGAAACACTCTTACTATCATTGAGTTTAGTTTTAGAAACAAGATCGGAGGCATACTTTACTTGAGAAAGCAGGCAGCCATCATTTGAAGAGGTGACTTCAAGCCCAAGGAAATAGCTCAGAACACCAAGATCTTTCATCTCAAATTTTTGATTGAGAGATTGTTTTAGCTCCTCAACACCTGCGACATCATCTCTAGTAATAATCATGTCGTCAACATAAAAAAGTAAAAGAACCATACCCCGATCAGTCTTACGAATGAACAAAGCTATATCATGTGGACTGGAAGTAAAACCACTACTAGAAAACTGGGCAAAATCGACAAAAACATATTCGACAGCCAAGTGGTTGTCGAATAAAAGGCCATATTCGACACCATCACTGTCGAATAAAGTTAATTGTCGATGATAATCGATTTTTTGGCGCATAATCGACAGAAAACTTATTCGACAATTATTCTGTCGAATATATGGTTTTATTCGACAGTCAATTGGCTGTCGAATATATATAATCGACAGCCAACAGGCTGTCGATTATGTTCCTTATTTATTCGACAGCAATGCTGTCGAATATACTGGACATTAACCCCCCGTCCCCCCTTCTTTCCCCCATTTCTTCTTCTTCCTCTGCGGCAGATCTGGTTCATATATATTTTATTAACTTAAATTAGTTTTTAGTTATGTAGTATTTGAATTTAAATAAGTAAAATATATAATATTAATAAAATTTAGCAATCCTATAGTAAAAAGAAAATAATTACAATATAATATTTTACAAAAAAATAGCATATATATATCATTATCTAAATTAAAATTTTTATAATTAATTATTAGCTCAAAAAAAATTAACTCTTATTACTTTTAAAACCAAAAATTCTACAAGAAAATTAATAAAAA